CTCCTCAGCCTTCGTGAACTGGGGAGCCCAGCACTGGACACAGCGCTGCAGATGGGGCCTCCCTAGGGCAGAGTAGAGGGGGAGGAGACCCTCCCTGACCTGCTGCCCACACTCCTCTGAATGCACTCCGGGAGACCATTGGTGGTCCACTCTAAGATGGGAAATTGATGAGAAATGGCTGAGAGCACCTAGGCCATTTTCCGACTTGTGCATTTCTGTTCGGCATTTTAAAGACTGTCTAGTAGAGGCTGTGTCCCCTTAGGCTGTGTGTAACTTGCTTCTGCCACCTGCTTTTCCTGAGAACCCTTTACGAGGAGGCTGTGGCAGAGTAAATTGTGTTGGTGGCAGCAGCAGTCTTGTTGTTAGTGGCTGTCAGGAAAACATGCCGAGGGCAGGTTGTGTTGGTTGTTCATTGTGGCAACAGCACTGTGCTCCCGTTCGTAGCCTTTCCTGGGTCAGCTCTGAAACGAATGGGAACTTGAAGTAAATTCCACTTAAGTCTATCTGACTTTTCCAGGCTATGATACTAAGGACTAGTTGTCTTACGTGTCATTTCACCTGTGTAAACTTGAGCGCTTCTGGATTTTAATCTCCTCGGGGTTCATTTTTTGAGTGCTTCACAGAGCTGTCTGTAGAGTCATGCTCCTTCCAGCATAACCTTTTTTCAAACACAATGAAACTTGTTCTTCATGCAATTGCACAATTCAAAAGAGACTCCTTATTTAGAGTGTTTGGAGCAGAATTTGCTTGCCATCAGCCTGAGTAGAGTCTTGAACTGCCCCTTAGGTGGGGGAGAGGTGGTTGATGCCAATAACCTGCCGCACCATCTCTGCACACTCTTGTTTTCTGAGTGTAGGGTCAAAGCCAGACCGGCTGAAGCTCTCTTGAGTGGGTTCCAGACTCTAGATTCAGCGGGTACAGAGAGATCTGCCTGAAGTTGTGTCAAGTGCGTAAACTCGTGAGAGGGGCACGTTTCCAGCGTTTCCGGCTCAGTTAATAGGTTGCTCAGTCCTCATCGCGAGATAGGCGGCTGTCCTTCTGCGCAGGGCAGACTGCTGGGTTGTCTTTGGGAGTCCAGTACCTGAAAATAAGCTGAATTTTAAACGTGTGTATGCCTTGCTATTGGATTAATTCTAGATGCGACTCTTCTTAGCAGCCCGTTCGTACCAGCAGTTTTGCAGAAGCCTCTTGCAGAGGTGCAGGAGGGAACCTCCAGGCAAGAAAGATGCTCTTGGTGCAGGTAGCACTGCTGTGCTTGTGAACTCCACCCAGAAATGGGACTGAGTCTTGCTGGGATGGGCTCTTTGGGATAAGGGACAGTAGTTCAAGGTCACTATGCAAATCCCTCCGCTTGGTAGCTTGGTCTAAACCCTTTGGAAATATTCGCTGTGTGGAATCATGAGCTGTTGCTTGTAGTATGGCTACACTTGCTGAGTGCACTGAGATCAAGGATGACCGAATATGTGACGGCCATCCGGGTTGGAATGGGGGCTCATTCCTTCCCCCATCTCTTACTAAAGTATAAAAAGTTAAGTGTTTACTAAGTACTGCAAGCAATCTGGAATTTGATTTTAAACTTGAACTGATGAAGGATGTGGCTTTGGGGAAATCAGTGGTTTTTTCCCAGGAAGTCTCAAGCTTTCCTGTGCTTTTGATTTGCAGAAGTGAAAAGTATTGTAATGGGTGCTTTTTTTTCAAATGGGTTCAATGTTTTTCTACAACTGACTGATGTTTAGTCAGTGCTTAGGAAGGTTTGGGTTGTTTCGCTTCTTTCCTCCTCGTAGTCGAGGCTCTTTGGCTAACAGCTCCCCTAATTCGCTGTGGTCTTACCTGGCTAAGGCAGATGCCAATTAAATCTGTGCTTCTTGGGCTATACGGCTCTCCTGCTACTGCTGCTCTGAAAGCAGCAGGAGAGACTGAAGAGCAAAGCAGGAGGGTAGTAAACATATTCTATTTTTAGGACAAGATTGGCTTATCTTGTATTTATCCTAGCTAGGGGCATAATGTTTCCAGAGACCTCACACGAGTAAAGGCTGCAGAAGGGCTGAGTTAATTTTAACCGCTCGACAGTCAACAAGCATGGAGCCTGCAGAGGAACCAGAGGAGCTGGGAGCTCAGACAGAAGTGATTGCAGACACAGTTCTTGAGGTTGGAGAGAGACTCTTTCAGGTCAGCCGTAGGGTGCTTTCCGTACACAGTCGTTATTTTGAAGCCATGTTTTTTGGGGGAGCAAGAGAGAGCTCGGAAAGCCACATAGTGATCAGAGGGATCGATGCAGTCCCTTTCCAGGCGCTCCTCGAGTTCACACGCACAGCCCAAGTGCTTATAGGTCAAGAAAACGTGACCAGCTTACTGGAAACAGCTGATTTCTTCCAGTTTGACAGGGTGAAGCTGTTGTGTGAGAAATTTCTGGAGAGGGAGCTGCATGTTTCCAACTGCCTGGGCCTGATGACCTACTCGCAGCAGTTTGGCTTTAGAGAGCTGTATGCGTCTGCTATGAACGTGGCTCTCACTCACTGGGGGGATGTGATTTGCCAGGAAGAATTTAAGGCACTACCCAAAGAAATGCTGATGCAGCTCCTGAAAAGTGACGACCTCTTTGTTTCGCGAGAAGATGTGGTGTTTGACAGCATTATGAGGTGGATAATGGAGGACCCAGCAACGAGAGAAGACGACTTTTTGGATTTGGTGGGCGAAGTCAGGGTCGCTTTTCTGAGTTTGTCCTTCCTTGACATCTTGGTGAAACGCAGCAAGCGCCCTGCAGAGACCGATACCTTCTCCAGACTAATAAAGAAGTTAGACAGCTGTCCTCCTCCCAGCTGGCAAAATACGGAACTGTGTCCTTACGCTGGTCGGAGCTATGACACCTTATATGTCCTGGGAGGAAAGCACGACAAGAAACAGCAAGAATTATTTCTCTTTCAACCTAAAACAGGGACCTGGCAGGCTTGTTCTCCACTGCAGCGCAGGAACCTCACCCAGTATGCAGTGGCAGCAGTAGGTAACTTCCAGACAAGTGGGACCGAGCAAGTGCAGACAGAAGTTGAGGCTTAGAGACCCAAACGCAGGGAGTTCAGCTGCTTCTCCTGTAACGCTGCGTTGCTAAAACCTCCTTCATCTTTGTGTTCATATCTGTTTAAAGAATGGTTTTGTTTTCCTTAGTCTTGGGAGAATGTTAGGCAAGGCTGAATATTTCTTTTAATATGGCAGAAACTACTGAACTCCTTGCATCAGCTTTATCTGGAGTGAGTCTCATGATTTCACTTCAAGCAGCACGTTTTTTGGCCTTCGCTTTTGTGGTGGTTTTGACAGATGGTGACTTCTGATTTATAGTTGCTGTTAGGTTAAACCTAACCATGGATGTTGTGAAATCTTCATGCTTGGAGACTTTCAAGATGGGTCAATACCGTGGCTTCCTCTATTTGATGTTGGTGGTGGTCCCATTTCAGATGGGAGTTTGGACGTGAGATCCCCAGAGGTTCTTTCCAACCAGTGTTTCCACGGTTCTGTTTGAGAGTGGGAGCAGACTTGGAAGGACTCGTTGTATCCCGTAGGCCCAGCGTGTCTGCAGATGAGCAATCAAGTACGGCAGACTCCTACAAAGAGCAGGGATTTTCTCTGCTCATCTTGCGCCTCATCGGTACAGCCCAGGGAGAGACGGGAACCGTAGCTCTCAGGAGCAATGTTCAGCCTTCGTGTAACTGATACTTCTCTCTGCTGTCATTCCAGGGAGCTTCCTTTTTGTGACAGGAGGATACTTCCGGGATGAGTTTGTGTGGTACAGCGTGGATTGGGTGCTCATCTATAATTGCTTGGACAATAGCTGGCTGGAAGGGCCTGCCATGAAGAAGTCCCGCAACAGCCATTGTGCGGTAGGAGCAGGGCTCTACCTTTATGTGCTTGGAGGGAGCACGGATGAAGGGATAATCCCAGCAGTGGAGCGCATGTCTTTGGTGGAGTCGGAATGGGAAAGCATGAGTCCTATGGCTCAGCCTGTGGAGAGAGGAGATGCGGTCAGCATGGGAACCAGGATCTATGTGGTCTGTGGCC